GCTATAATCCAAATTTAATTTAAATACGTATTTTTCTTTTTTATAGAAGTTATTGAAATATTGCTGTTAATTTCTATACTTTACACGTACTTCACACAAGTCATTGTGTGTGTGTTTTTATTGTATACCTGTAAATGTTTGGATCTTTGCTCGTTAATAAATGCTAAAAATGTTTAAAAAAAATAAACAGTCTTTTGTAATTTTATAATTGAAATATTTTATTTTCTCTTCTTTTTTTTTTTTCTTTTTTTTTTGGTCGACTAATCGCTACATGTGCTATAGTCTTGGTCGACCAAGCATTTCCTTGGTTGATTACAGCCCTACTAATCTGTCATCATTAAAGGGCCCTAATCTGTCATCATTAAAGGGCCCTAATCTGTCATCATTAAAGGGCCCTAATCTGTCATCATGAAAGGGCCCTAATCTGTCATCATTAAAGGGCCCTAATCTGCCATCATTAAAGGACCCTAATCTCTCATCATTAAAGGGGCCTAATCTGTCATCATTAAAGGGCCCTAATCTGTCATCATGAAAGGGCCCTAATCTGTCATCATTAAAGGGCCCTAATCTGCCATCATTAAAGGACCCTAATCTCTCATCATTAAAGGGGCCTAATCTGCCATCATTAAAGGGCCCTAATCTCTCATCATTAAAGAGCCCTATTCTGTCATCATTAACTCACTGACTGCCAGGCATTTTCAGATTTGAGAAGTGCATTCTGCCAGCAATTTCAGGTGATTTGACCCAACTTTGAAGTGCCACAGAATATTCATTTTTTAGACGATGTAAACACCAAGGGCACCAAATTAAAGATTAACTCTGCTTTACTCTGAAAAAAACAGTTTGTTTCTACCTCTTACCGTTCTTGAGCTATTCGCCATAGAACAAAGCATACTTTCACCCATAACACCTGGTCTGAGCAAGAAAACAGAGAAAAGGAGCTGTATGTAAACAGGAACATATCAAGCAGAAAAGAGACTTTTAGATGCATTTTTGCTGCTTTAGTGACAACTCAAAACATCTTCACACTTGTTCCATTACAAAAATTATAAAAACATGACTCTGAAATAATACTTTTGATGGCAAATTGTTGGCAATTTATTCACAGATAGAAAATGTAACTTTCTTCTATACCATCAACCAAAACGTCAAACAACAACAACACAAAGATCAATAAAACTATAGATGTATAAAATAGAATGAAGCATGTGAATTTGAGTGTGTGTGTGTGAATGTCAGTGTGCGAGTGAGTGTCTGTGTGCGTGAGTGTCTGTGTGTGTGAATGTCAGTGTGTGTGAATGTCAGTGTGTGTGAATGTCAGTGTGCGAGTGAGTGTCTGTGTGCGTGAGTGAGTGAGTGAGTGCGTGTGAGTGTTTGTGAGTGTGTCCGATAAATCATGATCAGGTTTGCTGAACGAATCCGAGGCATCAGTAACAACAGCAGCTGATACGCTGAGAGAGGCGGAAGGTGTGTCTCTGCTCTTGCTCCGCGCAAATGTAGCTGCAGAGACGGACCTCCACCGGGGTCTCCACTCTCTCCCCTCTCGACCTCACTCACTGATCCGCGAGTCAATCTCTGAAGCAGTGTCAGCTGCTTATAACTATTCTTTTTTGCCATCACTCTTGCTATACTATCGCTAAACTAGATCGCTGATCCGTCTCAATGCTACGCTATCATCGCACGCTCTGCTACAGCAGCACGCTCTCCAAACACTCCCACACTCCTCCTCCTTCTCTCCACTGACTTATGACCTCTCCTGTGGTGCAATACTGCATCCTACTGGTGGTGATTTATCATTACAGGTACATTTGCACTATATATCAGTATTGTGGGTCATTCACAAGGTGCGCCAGACATTACTGTAGCCTCCCGTGTAATAACACGAAAAACTCGTCAAACTCGTCATGGGCAGTGAGCGTTACTATTCAACATGACGAGTTTTGTCGTCATGGGCAGTGAATGAGTTAAAGAGCCCTAATCCGTCATCATTAAAGGGCCCTAATCTGTCATCATTAAAGGGCCCTAATCTGCCATCATTAAAGGGCCCTGATCTGTCATCATTAAAGGGCCGTAATCTGCCATCATTAAAGGGCCCTAATCTCTCATCATTAAAGAGCCCTATTCTGTCATCATTAAAGAGCCCTTATCTGTCATCATTAAAGGGCCCTAATCTGTCATCATTAAAGGGCCCTAATCTGTCATCATTAAAGGGCCCTAATCTGTCATCATTAAAGGGCCCTAATCTGTCATCATTAGGGCCCTAATCTGTCATCATTAAAGGGCCCTAATCTGCCATCATTAAAGGGCCCTAATCTGTCATCATTAAAGGGCCCTAATCTGCCATCATTAAAGGGCCCTGATCTGTCATCATTAAAGGGCCCTAATCTGCCATCATTAAAGGGCCCTGATCTGTCATAATTAAAGGGCCCTAATCTGCCATCATTAAAGGGCCCTGATCTGTCATCATTAAAGGGCCGTAATCTGCCATCATTAAAGGGCCCTAATCTCTCATCATTAAAGAGCCCTATTCTGTCATCATTAAAGAGCCCTAATCTGTCATAATTAAAGGGCCCTAATCTGTCATCATTAAAGGGCCCTGATCTGTCATCATTAAAGGGCCGTAATCTGCCATCATTAAAGGGCCCTAATCTCTCATCATTAAAGAGCCCTATTCTGTCATCATTAAAGAGCCCTAATCTGTCATCATTAAAGGGCCCTAATCTGTCATCATTAAAGGGCCCTAATCTGCCATCATTAAAGGACCCTAATCTCTCATCATTAAAGGGGCCTTATCTGCCATCATTAAAGGGCCCTAATCTCTCATAATTAAAGAGCCCTATTCTGTCATCATTAAAGAGCCCTAATCCGTCATCATTAAAGGGCCCTAATCTGTCATCATTAAAGGGCCCTAATCTGTCATCATTAAAGAGCCCTAATCTGCCATCATTAAAGGGCCCTGATCTGTCATCATTAAAGGGCCGTAATCTGCCATCATTAAAGGGCCCTAATCTCTCATCATTAAAGAGCCCTATTCTGTCATCATTAAAGAGCCCTAATCTGTGATCATTAAAGGGCCCTAATCTGTCATCATTAAAGGGCCCTAATCTGTCATCATTAAAGGGCCCTAATCTGTCATCATTAGGGCCCTAATCTGTCATCATTAAAGGGCCCTAATCTGTCATCACTAAAGGGCCCTAATCTGTCATCATTAAAGGGCCGTAATCTGCCATCATTAAAGGGCCCTAATCTCTCATCATTAAAGAGCCCTATTCTGTCATCATTAAAGAGCCCTAATCTGTCATCATTAAAGGGCCCTAATCTGTCATCATTAAAGGGCCCTAATCTGTCATCATTAAAGGGCCCTAATCTGTCATCATTAGGGCCCTAATCTGTCATCATTAAAGGGCCCTAATCTGTCATCACTAAAGGGCCCTAATCTGTCATCATTAAAGGAGCAATATGTAATATTTGCATGTCAAGTCATCATTAAATGACCCGAATATTTCAAAAGGCGTTATTAAATCATACTCTTTTCGAATTCATCTTTAACTGATAACAGTAGTTCAGCCGAGATATTTCATTATCAAAATTAGTTTTACGACCCGTAAAAGTTGTTATTGTTTTGATTTTGATGTCCTACCCTCCGCCGTTTCGCCAATCAGGAAGTGTCATGTAAATCCGTGATCGGGTTGCCAGAACTCCGCGCGGCTCATTAATCTCAGTGGTAAAATAACATGTGGCGCAGAACTAAAAAAGGTCTTGTTATGACTCTCAAATCATTAATGACAAAACAAAGACTAAAACGAGGATTTATATCGGGATGCCTTTGAACAATTGAGACAGCTAATAAAAGTTCACGTGTGATGCAGAATTTTCTAGTTTGAGTCCGTTCTTCACAGTGTCTCTATTCGTGTGAATCGGTGATCTAGTGGTCTAGACTGTGCGCTTACGATGCAGGAACCCGGGTTCGATCCCGGGCTATGTCTTTTTGTATTTATTGCATGTTATCACATTCTATGACAGATTGCTCTAAAAACGGTAAAAGATGAAGGTCAAGACGTTTTTTTGCAGATTATAGCTTAATTGTAAAAATAATCATTTAAGACCACATGTACCCCAATTAAAATAATGTTAGTCTCTTTTTGATGTGGGACTTTTACATGTTTGTCTAAAAAATAGGGAATAAATAAAATTGAAAGGTGATATCCTCTTGAGCAAACCCTGATGTTGATACGCTGAAGAAATACGTTCCAACATCTATTCTTCCCACTCCTATTTTGGACATCAATCGCTTATTTATTTTGCATAAACTATGTATAATTACATTGCTTTTATTTTGTTTTTGTTTTTTATCTCAAATGTCCAAATAATAATAATAAAAAAACATTAATCAAAACATTCATTCAGCATTAGCACGGCTGTCATGGAAATGTGAATGGAGACGGACAAACAACTGATAAAATAATTCCCTGTGTTTGCTGCTGGATTTGGTGTGAATCTGGCAACCTGAGTCAGGGGGAGTGGGAGAGGACTACACAATATTGACTGTGACTGCAGTACCACTTTTGGCCAGATTTTTACATATTGCTCCTTTAAAGAGTCCTAATCTGTCATCATTAAAGGGCCCTAATCTGTCATCATTAAAGAGTCCTAATCTGTCATCATTAAAGGGCCCTAATCTGTCATCATTAAAGGGCCCTAATCTGTCATAATTAACTCTTTCAGTGCCAATGACGCATATTACGTCAATTCTAGATCTATGCTTGTGTGCCATTGACGCATTTTATGCAATTGACGTGTTTTGGTGTATTCAGATCCAGACGCATCCATTCTATCATATATCTCTGATCGGGACTGTTTGACAGTATTTTATTCGGCCAGCAGATGTCAGTAGCGTCCTTTAGCTCTTCGATCAGGCATAAAAGGAACCGGAAGCCCAGATCTCATTGTGGGAGTAGGTTGGTTAGAGTGAGCACACGAGAGTAATCGGGAGAGCGAACATGAGCAGAAAGCGGCAGCTAACGATGGAGGAGGCGTTTGGTGCTGGTGGTACCATCAGAAGGTTGGTGGGTGATGGCCATGATGAAGGTGGAGGTGATCTGCCTCGGCCTTCAGTTGGCAAAAAGCCTGAGGCTACGGCTAAAGCTACTGCTAAGCATCTGGCCGTTGGCGGGAGTCCTTGCCGCGCACGTCGCTCCAGAGCAGCCGCACGCAGTTCCAGTGGTCCACGTCGGTCCAGAGAAAGTTCCTCGTCGGATACAGGCTCTTCAGAGCTATGGGAACCTGAAGCTGACCCAAACAGCAGTGACTCATCCCCCGATTCCCCCAGAGCAACCGGCAGAGCAGGTAATGCATACATTATACATATGTATTTAGCAATGAAATAAAAGTATTCTTGTATAATTCTCATGATTGTATTTGTGTGTATTTCTAGTAAGCAGAGTGCTGGCCCAATCCAGGAGTACTAATGCTGGTAAAAGGAGGCCTACAGGTAAATAAAATACTCATATATGTATGTATATATGCATGTGTGTGTATATGTATGTGTATAATATGTATGTATGTGTAGTGTGTGTGTGCGTGTGTCTCTGTGCGTGTGTCTTTGTGCATGTGTGTCTGTGTGTCTTTGGATATGTGCGTCTGTAGATGTATATGTATTTGGATATGTGTGTATATGGATAGATGAGTTATTGTACAATTCTATACAGGCGCTACATTGAGCAGAGGCGCTGCCAGCGTGAGTCCTGCAAATACAGGTGTGAAGAAAAGAGGTAGGAATATCTTTCTCTACATCACATCAAATCAATAAAACGAGCTCTATTTGATTCCTATTTATTGTATACATTTCCATAATTTATTACAGTTGCAAAGGGTAAAGGCGGCACCTGGCGGAAATCCGGATGGAAACCCACTGTGTTCCCCTTCACTGCAACGCCTGGTCCCCTGAACGCGGCAGCAGAGCTGGAGTCCACCTCGCCTGCTGACTTCTTGGAGCTGTTCCTCACGGACGAGCTGCTCCAGCACATCACAGAGCAGACCAACCTCTATGCTCAGCAGCATTTCCTGGCAAACCCAGAGATTCCGCAACACAGCAGAAAGCATGCATGGAGACCAGTGACCATTCCAGAGCTAAAAAAGTTCTTTGCATTGTCTTTCCTCACTGGTGTTATCCACAAGCCAACCCTGGCAATGTTCCAACTCATATGGAGGTTCCTCCATTACAATGACAACTCTGCAATTGATGTAACTGACAGGTTATACAAGGTTCGCCCCGTCTACGACTACCTGATCAATAAATTCAAGGTAATGTTCCAACCCGGGCAGAATATTTGCATAGATGAGGGGATGTTGCTCTGGAGAGGACGGCTGGCCTTCAAGGTCTACAACCCACAGAAGCCCATAAAGTATGGAATAAAGTCCTATGTGCTCTGCGACTCTGCCACCGGCTACTGCTTTAACCTGCAGCCCTATGTTGGTGAGTCCCGCACGATCCCTGACATTGTTTTTTCTCTCCTTGACCGTCTCCCAGGTGCCGGCCACACTCTGTTTATGGACAATTATTACAATTCTGTGGCATTGTCTGAGCAGTTGATGGCAGTAAAAACAAATGTGTGTGGGACGCTAAGGAAGAACCGGGGAGAGCCTGAGAGCATTAGGGACGTGACCAAGACTGAGCTGAGTGTGGGGGGGAGAGTCGCGGTGAACAATGGGAAGGTCATGGTTGTGGCGTGGCGGGACAAACGGATTGTCAAGATGTTGACAACATGTCACCATGACAATATGACGAGTGTCGACGTTTGGCAGCGAGGACAGAGGGAGAAGGTGTCTGTCCTAAAACCGGAGTGTGTCGATGCCTATAACTCCTCCATGAATGGCGTGGATCGATTGGATCAGAACATTAAATACTACCCGTTCGTCCGGAAGTCTCTGAACTGGACCAAAAAATGTGTCGCTTACCTGTTCCAAATCGCAATGTACAATGCCTACACTCTCTACAGAGCCAGGAACGGGAACCGGGAATACAAAACCCTCTTGGAATTTATGCAGGGGGTCATGAGGTCCTGGACATTGAAGGTCCAGGATGAGAACGAGGAGGACATCGAGGACGAGGAGGACGAGGAGGACATCGAGGACATTGAGGACAAGGAGGACGAGGAGGACCACAACGAGGAGAACGAGTCGATCGTTGCATGTGTGGAGGAAGGAGCACCACGAAACCCCAGGGCTCCATATAACACTGATCCAGAGAGCAGGCTCGATGAGGGTGCCAGGCACAAGGTGGAGTACCTGCTGTCCTCCGGCTCGAAGACCAGACCCTCGAGGAGATGCAGGGTCTGCATGCGCAAAGGCCTGCGCAGTGAGACAAGGATGTGGTGCAAGGCATGTGGTGTCCCCTTACACAAAGGAGAGTGCTTCACAAAATATCATACACAACAAGATTACACTATATAGACAGAGACACACGCACGCACACATGCACGCACACACGCACGCACACACGCACACTCTCAGCCAATCAGCACTTTATGTATATAGTTATTTGTTTGTAATTTATGTTTGTACATTTCTTATTCTGTGTTCTGAGTATTATTTTGCTATCAAAAGCACTTTATTTTGAGTCATTTCCCTTATTTTATATATGGGAAGAATGTTCTGTTGTGTGAGAAATGACTAAAGTAAAAAAAAACTTTTCAAAGTCACTTTTCTGCATTGTTTGCTTATTTTCACAAACACCTCATTTTCTCAGCTTTAAGTCGGAAACTGATGATTTCTGTGAAAAGTTTACCTTACTCCAATGGTGATTACAGAAGAACTAAAGCCGATAGAAACACACTTATTTTTTTCTGAGTAAACTAGAGGGTCCAATCTTTCAGAATATGGTCTCAGATTTAAGCTAGTCATAGCAGAACATATTCTATGGGTCTTTAAAAGTCGGTGAAAATCAGCAAAACAGCTGGCACTGGAGGAGTGATGTTCTGAAAATGTCTGGCACTGAAAGAGTTAAAGGGCCATAATCTGTCATAATTAAAGGGCCATTATCTGTCATAATTAAAGGGCCCTAATCTGTCATAATAATAACCTGTTCTTTTCCAATACTGCTTTAACTGATAACAGTAGTTCAGAGATATTTTCATTTCTAAATTACTTTATTATTGTTATTTGTTATTGTTTTCATTTCGATGTCCCGCCCTTCCTCGAACCCATGACCATTGGGTCCAAAGCTCTAGCAGTGCTCTACCAACTGAGCTGCTGTCGCCCAGATGATATGTGAGTGGGAAACCCCAGCTCCTCAGCCTTTGTACATGCACGAGGACCATCATTGAAAATAGGCTGAAAGACTGACACCTCGAACACATTTTCACTGACACAAATCAACCCAGACAGCTGCAGACACGGCCTTTCTGATTTCACCTGAGACCGTCTCCAGACTGACAGGTGTCTGCACCAACCGGGCTCTAAGTACCACCTACATTTATCATTCTGTCGTAATGGAGGCCCCCATTTTAGGCTCGATATTCACCTTTTCTACACATGAAGAAGACAAATAACACCAGTTTTTACGACTTGTAGAAATATAGGATGAGTAACAAGTCAGAAATGTGGACAGAGGCTTTCCAGGGATTAAAGTGTTGTTATTTCAGGGTGTGTGGTCCGTTACTTTTTCCTCTAGATTCTATTTTTCCCAATCCTGTGTAGGAGGAGTCAAGTGACATTGTTTAATTATATAACAATAAGAACACCTCTTCTTTTAGATTATCAACACAATGTAAAATTAATGAATGTTCACGTCTTAAACACTGGAGAAGAATTTGAGAGAGGGTTGAATGAAACCACGCAGACTCAACAGACAAAGGTGTAGTTGGAATAATTTAGCACACAACACTATTGGCATTAGAATTCTAAGTTATCTCATTTGAATGAATATTAATGGGTTGTCTCGTTAACCTGTGGGAAAGAATTAAGATCTTTGGAGTGACCTTAACTTGACCATAACGTGCCTCGCTCCTGGTGCCTCGGTCCTGGTGCCTCGCTCCTGGTGCCTCGCTCCTGGTGCCTCGCTCCTGGTGCCTCGGTCCTGGTGCCTCGCTCCTGGTGCCTCGCTCCTGGTGCCTCGCTCCAGTCCAATCTGATTAGAAGGATTGCCTCATGACATGTTGTTGTGGAACGAGCAATGCTAGCAATTTACGCTAATGGATGCAGTACATTATATTATGAGCCCCCTCTCCCTAAAAACACATTCACTGGTTTTAATCTTGTTTACACATAGAATATTGACAAAGAAATAAACCTTAAAATTATTGACACAATCAGCTGTTCACTTGTTGCTAGGGTTTGGGTTGTTATTGTTCTTTATTTTTTATTAATTACTCATTTTGTTTGGGTGTTTTGAACTGTTTTTTTTCATTATTTATTTTATTCATCTGCATATCTGGCAACCTGAGCCAGAGGGAGTTTTCACTTTTGGCCAGATTGTTTTGTATACTGCTCCTTTAATGGTAGTTTATGTAAATTGTCAAAAGAAGTGGGCCCAAGATCGATCCCTGTGGCACACCTTAAGCTGCAGATCGTCCAAAAACAGGTCGTCACATTTGATCTTTTGTGACTTAAAAACTAACCATAATGTTTTGATAGTTGTGTGAATGCCCATATTCTACAACTTTATATTCTAATTAGTTTAAAATAGAAAAAAAGCGATCAAAGAATATCTTAATTTTAATCTCCTCGGATGAGTTGATATCCGAGTGATCATCCTTGATTGTGTTTATTTGTGGCCCTCTCACACATGCCGTTTGATCACACAGATGTGAATAATAGAAAACCAGGGCTGCATTAATCCTCTTCAGAAAGGACAAATTCATTAGCCCTGAATGTCTTTGGACTTTGATGTTCGCCGCTGCCTCACTCCTCTTCAGCTCGTGTTGGAAATGATGCTCGTCCTGTGAATGTCAGCCGCTAACCGCTAACCGCTAACCGCTCACTGATCTCAATGTGCAGATCAATACTGTGTTTTGCTTTGATGCCGTCTCATTGGTTTTACTTTTTAGCCGTCATTAAGTCATCCACGATCATATCCCCAGTGGGAAGTATTGCTCTGCCGGCGCTTAAATGAACGGTTACTGCACCAGTGGGAGATCTCCGAGACTCGCAGATTAAACTTCAATGGATTCAATCATTCATCAATAATCAATAGGACTTATGCCCAGAGGGAGGCAGGGACCGGACTCACCAGTGCGGCTCCGGCAGGGCCCCGGACTACATTTTGTGGATGGGGGCCCCTGATGTTTGAATTCAGGTGCGCCGCTGCTTTAAAACTGGGATTACATTTTTGGCCTGATTTTTCTGTGTGTTCTGTAATGTTATGTAAATGTCACAGGGGTAAAAAAGCAGGTTCTTCGGACCCGGATTTAAAAAGGGACCACTGGATTAAAAGCGAATTAAAAGCAATTTATTATAAAATACATTAAAAACAAGTAAATAAAAGCAATAAAAACCTAAGCTAAAAAACAAGGCAAAAAAACTAAAACAGAGGCTAAAACAGGCCAAAATGCATCCCCACGGCCTGGGCCGCCAGACCACGGGGCTCTCACCCGCCGCGCCTGGCTCCCGTGTCTGGCTCCCTCTCCGTTTTCCCTCTCCTGCCCCCTCCCCATCTCCTTTTGTACCGTGGCACAGGTGTTCTAATTGTCACGTGGGGAGCCGGGGTGCTTCAGGTGGTGCAAATTAAAATCAATATTAAAAACACACACACGACATGCATAAAATATAAAACAAACCATATTAAAACCCACCACCCATTTTGCACCCCTCGACACTCCCCCCTGCTTTAATAATAGCAGTCCCTGCTAGTTCGTGAACACCTGTGCCTTTCCATCGCTGGGGAGAGGGGGTTCACCTCCGCAGCGCGCCTCCTCCGCCGTGCCTTGCTTTTTGTCCGCTGCGCCCCCGGGTGAGCCGCGTCCTCCTGTGCGGGACCACTCGCGCATCCCTCGTCCTCTTGCTGCTGCTGACCGGGCCCACCTGCACCACACACACCAGAGGCCAGCACAAACCCACACACCCGCGACCCTCGGGCCGTAAGCCTTTGACGAGCACCACTACACCACATGCTCATACTCACAGGCCAGGCAGACCTCCAAGTCTGCCCCTGTCTGTATCATGCGTCGTGGTGCTCTCACTCTAGGTCGCGGCTGTGGCGCTCCTCTCCTGCGCGCTGCGTGGATCTAGGGTGGCCCACCCGGCTCCCAGCTCGCAGTCCAGCTCTCATTGTGCGCCCTGTCCTCCGCGCCTTTCCATGCGCCCACCCTTAATTCCTTCGGGCATCCACCGAGCAAGAGCCATGGCCTCTACTTGCTTTTTTTTTCTTAAAACAGTGGTACCGGGTCCTGCCAGACAACGCCAAAATGTCACAGGGGTAAAAAAAGCAGGTTCTTCGGACCCGGATTTAAAAAGGGACCACTGGATTAAAAGCGAATTAAAAGCAATTTATTATAAAATACATTAAAAACAAGTAAATAAAAGCAATAAAAACCTAAGCTAAAAAACAAGGCAAAAAAACTAAAACAGAGGCTAAAACAGGCCAAAATGCATCCCCACGGCCTGGGCCGCCAGACCACGGGGCTCTCACCCGCCGCGCCTGGCTCCCGTGTCTGGCTCCCTCTCCGTTTTCCCTCTCCTGCCCCCTCCCCATCTCCTTTTGTACCGTGGCACAGGTGTTCTAATTGTCACGTGGGGAGCCGGGGTGCTTCAGGTGGTGCAAATTAAAATCAATATTAAAAACACACACACGACATGCATAAAATATAAAACAAACCATATTAAAACCCACCACCCATTTTGCACCCCTCGACATAAATATATGACGGATGAAAGTCAGCAGGAGCAGGGGGCTACATCAGCGGTAGGTACTCTGCTTAGAAGCCACAAAAAGTTTGATGTACTGTCACAGCTTTTTTTTAAAGTTCTTCTAACAAGACAAATAAATCAAAAAATGCTAGTACTGCTTAATTACCTGACATGTTTCGGCGGGACACTTCCGCCTTCATCAGAGGTGACACGTGATGGTGTGACGCGTCTGTTGTTTCCGGATGCGGTCAGTCTCATGAAGGCGGAAGTGTCCCGCCGAAACGTGTCAGGTAATTAAGCAGTACTAGCTTTTTTGATTTATTTGTCTTGTTAAAAGAACTTAAAAAAAAGCCTTAAACATAAGAAGACAGAATGAATTTTCTACATTGAATGTCAACGCTAATGCTAATCTGTTGTTCATTTCATATGTTTTATATTATGGTTTTTAATATACACACTTACATAAACCAACACACACACTCACCTCCACACACTCTCCTACATACGCACACTCACCAAAACACACACACACACTCACCAACATACACACACTCACTTCCACACACTCTCCTACATACACACACTCACCAACATACACACACTCTTCTACATACACACACTCACCAACATACAGACACTCACCAACATACACACACTCACCAACATACACACACTCACCAACATACACACACTCTTCTACATACACACACTCACCAACATACAGACACTCACCAACATACACACACTCTTCTACATACACACACTCTCCTACATACACACACTCACCAACATACACACACTCTTCTACATACACACACTCACCAACATACACACACTCACCAACATATACACACTCACCAACATACACACACTCACCTACACACACACACACTCACCAACATACACACACTCACCAACATACACACACTCGCCAACATACACACACTCACCAACATACACACACTCACCAACATACACACACTCGCCAACATACACACACTCACCAAAACACACTCACCAACATACACACACTCACACACAACATACACACACTCACCAACATACACACACTCACCAAAACACACACACACTCACCAACATACACACACTCACCAAAACACACGCACACTCACCAACATACACACACTCACCAAAACACACACACACTCACCAACATACACACACTCACCAAAACACACACACACTCACCAACATAAACACACTCACCAAAACACACACACACTCACCAACATACACACACTCACCAAAACACACACACACTCACCAACATACACACACTCACCAAAACACACACACACTCACCAACATACACACATTCACCAAAACACAAACACACTCACCAACATACACACACTCACCAAAACACACACACACTCACCAACATACACACACTCACCAAAACACACACACACACATTCTCCTACATACACACACTCACCTACACACACACTCACCAACACACACACACTGACACATACTCTCATCTACACAACACACTTTCTCACACACACACATATTTAGAATTTCCACACTTTTAAATTAAATAATGTGTTTTTCTTTCAATAGTCATTTAAGATAATGTTGATTTAATGTTAATTTAATTGACAATTTTCTGTGAGTCCGTTGCGACATGTTTTCATTTGAAATGTTTGGACAGAGCCACAACAAATATTGGATTATTAATTTAATCATTAAATAAAATACAATCCACTGTTAGTCCTGGTTTAACAGATTTTATGCATCATCTTAATGTGTTTTAATAAAAATTCGGCTCTCGGCTTGTAGCAAATCAGGTTTTTTGGCGTCTGATGAATCTGACTCAGAATCAGAATCAGAATCATTTTTATTGCCAACGTAAGTAACGGGAGGTCACAGACTTGGAAATTGCTTTGGCTCAGTGCAACAGTCAAAAAGAGATAATAAAAATAAGAATAAAAAACACTTCTAAAGAATAAATTTAAATTTAAAATAGAGTTACAGTTACTATTTACAATATACAAGTGCACATGGTGCACACAATGTAAGGTGACAGCAGTACAGTGAAGTAAAGTGACATATGATGGGCAGTAAAGTGACTTTATAAAGGGCGGGGGACAGGTTAAGAAGTGTTCAAGAGTCCAACAGCAGAGGGGAAGAAACTGTTCTTGTGGCGGGAGGTTCTAGTCCTGATGGACCGCAGCCTCCTGCCTGAGGGGAGTGGTTGGAATAGTCCATGTGCAGGGTGAGAGGGGTCGGCTGTGATACGACCAGCCCGGCCTCGAGCTCGGGCGACGTACAGGTCCTGCAGCGATGGAAGGCTGCGGCCGATCACTTCCTCTGCAGAGCGCACAATGCGCTGTAGTCTCCGTTTGTCCCTGACTGTGGCTCCAGCGAACCACACGGTGATGGAGGAGGTGATGGAGGAGGTGATGAGGAGGTGATGGAGGAGGTGATGGAGGAGGTGAGGATGGACTCGATGATGGCCGTGTAGAACTGCAGCTTGGCTTTCCTGAGCTGCCGCAGGAAGTACATCCTCTGCTGGGCCTTCTTGATGAGGGAGCTGATGGTCGGCTCCCACTTGAGGTCCTGGGTGATGGTGGTGCCCAGGAAACGGAAGGACTCCACAGAGGTGATGGGGGAGTCCATCACGGAGGGTGGGGGCGGGGGTTGTTACCACTGCACCAGGTTGTTACCACTGCACCAGGACACCAGCCGGTCCACCTCCCTCCTGTAGGCGGACTCATCGTTGTTGGAGATGAGTCCAATGAGGGTGGTGTCGTCCGCGAACTTGATCAGCTTCACGGAGTCGTGGCTGGAGGTGCAGTGGTTGGTGTACAGGGAGAAGAGCAGGGGAGAAAGAACACAGCCCTGTGGGGCTCCTGTATTTATAATCCGAGAGTCCGAGACATTCTTCCCCAGACGCACTCGCTGCTTCCTGTCCGTCAGGAAGTCAGTGATCCACCTGCAGGTGGAATCGGGCACGTTGAGCTGGGAGAGCTTGTCCTGGAGCAGGGATGGCAGGATTGTGTTGAAGGCAGAGCTGAAGTCCACGAACAGGACCCTGGCGTAGGTCCCCGGGGAGTCCAGGTGCTGTAGGATGTGGTGGAGGGCCAGGTTAATGGCGTCGTCTACAGATCTGTTGGCTCTGTAGGCGAACTGCAGGGGGTCCAGGAGGGGGGAGGTGAGGGACTTGAGATGGGAGAGAACCAGGCGTTCAAATGACTTCATGACGACAGACGTAAGTGCTACAGGTCTGTAGTCATTGAGTCCTGTGATCCTGGGCTTCTTCGGGACGGGGACAATGATGGAGGATTTGAAGCAGGCCGGGACATGGCAGGACTGCAGAGAGGAGTTGAAAATGTCCGTGAACACAGGAGTAAGCTCACTGGCGCAGTGTCTCAGAGTGGCCGGAGACACGTGGTCCGGGCCAGGAGCTTTGCGGGGGTGCAGCCTCAGGAAGAGTTGTTTAATCTCTTTAGCGGCTATTGTTAGGCTGGGGGCAGGGCTGATGGGTGGGTCGTTAGAGTAGTGGGGGGTGGGGGAGGGAGAGGTGTCAGGGGCAGCATCAAAGCGACTGAAAAATAAGTTCAGATCGTCAGCTAGCTTGTGGTCATCAGCACAGGGGGGGGCTTTGGGTTTGTAGTTGGTGATCTCCCGTAGGCCCCTCCAGACAGAAGCAGTATCGTTGTTACCAAACTGCTCCTGTAGTCGTTCTCTGTGCCGGGACTTGGCTGCTTTCAGTTCTTTCCTGAACTGATATTTAGCTGCTTTGTAGCCGCTGCGGTCCCCCTCCCTGAAAGCAGACTCCTTTGCTTTCCTGAGCTGCCGGAGTTTAGCAGTGAACCAGGGTTTGTCGTTGTTATAGATGACCCTGGTCCTTGTTGGAATGATGCTATCCTCACAGAAGTGGATGTATGACGTCACAGTGTCCGTATATTCATCCAAGCTGTCTGTGGCAGCTCTGAAAAGGTCCCAGTCTGTAGATTCCATGCATGCGCGCAGCTCTTCCACAGCTTCATCAGACCACACTTTGGAGCTCCTCACTGCAGGTTTCGAGAGCTTTAGTCTCTGTCTGTAAGCAGGAACCAGATGTATCATGGAGTGATCTGAGAAGCCGAGGGCTGGCTTGGGAACAGCGCGAAAAGCTCCGCGCACGGTGGTGTAACAGTGATCCAGAGTGTTCTCCTCTCTGGTCGGGCATTTGATAAACTGTCTGTATTTGGGTAATTCCTGGCTCAAGTTTCCCTTATTAAAATCCCCCAGGATAATAATCAGAGAGTCCGGGTATAAGCGTTCCATACACAGTACTTGCTCTGCGAGTGCGCGCTGAGCCTCGCGCGCGTCCGCGCATGGCGGTATGTAAACAGAGGCAAGAATGAATGAAACAATTTCCCGCGGGGAGTAATATGGTTTACAATGAATGAAAAGATATTCCAGAGCAGGAGAGCAGTGCTTGGAGATCACTGTCACATCGTTACACCAGTTTGTATTGACGTAGAAACAGAGCCCTCCGCCTCTGCTCTTCCCTGAGAGCGCACAATGGCGACCCGCGCGGAACAGCCCAAAGCCCTGCAGCTCCAGAGCGCAGTCCGGGATCCGCTCATTTAGCCAGGTCTCAGTGAAGCAGAGGACACAGGATGTGGCGAAGTCCTTGTTTCTTCTCATGAGCAGGCTGAGTTCGTCCATCTTATTGCCCAGTGAGCGTACGTTGGAGAGAAAAATGCCGGGGAGAGCCGTGCGCGCTCCTCTCCTCCTAAGACGCACGAGCAGGCCTCCTCGCTTTCCCCTTTTACGGGCCCACACTTTTTTGGCTAGAACATGAACTAAATCAGCCGCAGATGCCAAGAAAACAGGCAATAGGTCCATGGGAACGGTGGGTCGGATGTTCATAAGTTCCTCACGGGTGTAGGAACAGCCAGATGCACAGTTAAAAAGTAAAAACAAAAGAAAAAGAGAGCAGCAAAGAGCCATGTCGACCGTACGAGGCGCCATCTTGTTCTGCCTGCCTCTGACGTCCCTGTTGCACCTGAAGAGACACTTTTACTGTAAATTCTAGTAATTGACCAGTGTGGTGGCTCATTTAAAGAACCAGGTGCAACAGTTCTTCTGACGCTGAAACCAGGGAGACGTAATCCGGTTAAGTCCATTTATTGAACAAAGTGATAATAAAAATTAACATTACAGTCTTCCACAGTTTGCAGGTAGAAAATCTGTGTTCTCCCATGGTCCCACAGTCTAGGGTCCCACATGGTCCCACAGTCTAGGGTCCCACATGGTCCCACAGTCTAGGGTCCCACATGGTCCCACAGTCTATGGTCCCACGGTCTAGGGTCCCACATGGTCCAACAGTCTATGGTCCCACAGTCTAGGGTCACATTGTCCCACTGTCTAGGGTCCCACATGGTCCAACAGTCTATGGTCCCACAGTCTAGGGTCCCACATGGTCCAACAGTCTATGGTCCCACATGGTCCCACAGTCTAGGGTCACATTGTCCCACTGTCTAGGGTCCCACATGGTCCAACAGTCTATGGTCCCACAGTCTAGGGTCCCACATGGTCCAACAGTTTATGGTCCCACAGTCTAGGGTTCCCACATGGTCCAACAGTCTATGGTCCCACTGTCTAGGGTCCCACATGGTCCCACAGTCTATGGTCCCACATGGTCCAACAGTCTATGGTCACACATGGTCCCGCAGTCTAGTGTCAAATGGTCCCACTGTCTAGGGTCCCACATGGTCCCACAGTCTAGGGTCCCACAGTCTATGGTCCAACATGTTCCCACAGTCTAGAGTCCCACATGGTCCCACACCTGAACTCAGACTGAAACTGATGACCTCAGAGCAGTCTAAATAATGGGAGTGTGTCTGATTTTAAAGCTGCTCTACCTGTTTTTAAACTTAGATATTTGTCTTTTACACTTTTTAATCATTATGACATTTACTAGCTTAACATTTTAGAATATTTCACTAACTTAAGAATTTCAACCGTTTAACTGTAACTTTTAAGGGTTTTAACAATTCTTAACATATAATCTGTCTGACGTTTTAACAAAAAACAAATTTATATTTTTAACTTTTCAGCATTCTCACTGCTTCAGCTCTCACAACCAGTATTTTTCTCTGTTACTTAAACCTCAGTCATTTCAGATCCACCGCCCTCGGCCGCCGTCTCTCTCTCACTGATTCCATCCTCGCCACCTGTTTGCTGCGTAACAATATTTCAGATGTGAACGATGACGGATGTGGTCGTCCCCTCAAAGGCCGCCCTGTCAGCTCCGCACCGGGAACCTCTTCATCTTCCAAACGCCCCGTGTAGGAATCTCCCGTCTTTGGGCCGGAAGCTCTGCAGATGCACGGTGTTGAATGAGACCTCGGATTCTTCATGACATCTTCATAAAACCGACAGTGTTGAGAGCTTCGAACGCCGCCGCTTTAAAACACATGATCCAAGTTAACCTTTGCAATTGCCAGTCTGGGAGATTGCATTGTGTGTGCCCAGACTCGGAGGAAGTTTGCTAACTCACTCTTTTTTTGCTGAATCACGGGCTGTGTGCTTTAACTCATTGAGTGCCAGCCTGGTTTAAACAGCTTGGGTCTAGAATGCCAGCCATTTTGTCAATTTTTCCTGATATTTGCAGAGCCACAGCATATTCTGTGTTATTGTCATAATCATATGCTATACTGCGTTTGAAAGGTGAGGCTTTAAACTTTCAGATGGTGAAAACCTTTCGTTTCTACCGGCTTTTGCTCCTGAGATATCCTAAGCAAAAGATGGGAAACTTTCATGAAAATCCTTGTGAATTTCTTAGAAAAGGAGATAGAGACCCTTTTATGAAAAATCATTTTTTTGAGGGTGTAGTTCTTCTGACACTTACATTTCTGGGTCCACGTACATTTATAAGATAGATATTTTATAGGAGTAGGGTAGACTACAAAAAAAACACATTTTTAAAGGACTAATTCCATCCAAACACATATTTATACCGCCTTTACACTGGAGATGAAATTTGATCCGTATGAAAATTTATTGCAACAACAATATGAATGTACTATTATATTACAAATGTTTATTTATAGTAATATAATAGAAATTAAATAAAAAATAAAAAGATAGAAAAAAAGGAAAGGGCTTCAAGCGAATCAATCTATATGCTTTGAAAAACTAAATCTTTCTGTGAGTGGTACAGCGTGAAACACTCTTTGAGGTGAAGGGGAACACGGCACGATGTACAGTAGAAGCTTGTTTCACTTCTGCGTCCACTCATCTTACACACCCTGCATATTCTGGTTGGATTCTGCTTCTTGGGAGTGGCACTAAATTTTGCCATCACGTGACCTCCAATGCCACCAGTCAGCCTACTATCAGGGTCTGTACTTGGGGCCCTAGCAACCTCTCTCTGCCTTCCAATGTCCACTACCTCCTCAGTTATGGCACATGGACGGGTAGTCAGCGAGTTCACTACACTGTGGATGAATGTAAGAAGCTTCCTGTGCTGTCCTTGGGGGTTTCGGCATTTGTACAGAATAAATGCATTGAAAAGGCATATCTGAAACAAATAAAGGACAAATTTCTTTGTCCATTTTGCAGATTTTCGAATGCATGGGTAGTATGCAATATTCTGGTCCAGTTTGTCAACACCGTTCATGGAGTTGTTATATGCAACTACACATGTCGGCTTCTGGACAGGTACCCTCTCCCTGTGGCCCCTTCGCCACACCCCTGATGTTTCCATCTCATCTTGGTGGTGGCTGGTGATCATTTTTACAATTTTCTTGTCCCTCCATGCAAGGACCATGACCACATTGTTGTGAAGTGCAATGACCTCCCCTGGCTCAAGATTAGAGTTGGAAATGCTAGTAATAGCCTGTGGTTCCCCCCTGTTCTTTCTCAGTGTCCCACAAATGTGGGTTTTTAACTGTAGGAGCCGGTCAGCAAGTGCTACAGAGTTGTAAAAATTGTCCATGTACAATTTGTATCCCTGCCCAGCCAGCCTGTCAAGGAGGGTAACTACGGTGTCCCCCAGGTTCCCCGCTTCCCCGCAATATGGTTTCATCCCAAAACAGTAACCAGTGTCTGAATCACAGATTATGTATGATTTTATTCCATATTTGATGGGTTTCTGGGGGTTGTAAACTCGGAAAGTGAGGCGTCCACGCCAAGCCATCATGCCCTCATCAATACAAATATCACAGTTGGGCTGGTAAAGCTCACCAAACTTAGACAAAACCTGGTCTAACACAGGCCTGACTTTATACAGCCTATCACTGCCATCGATAGCCTGGTTGTCACTAAAGTGTAAAAACCTCCAAATAAGTTGGAATCTGTTTCGTGGCATGGTTTTGGAGAAGAAGGGTGTGACGAGTAGTTCATCTGTACTCCAATAACTAGCCAAGGAAGGCTTTTTGATAATGCCAGTGAGAAAGAAAATACCAAAAAACCGCCTGAGCTCCTCCACAGTCACATTCTTCCAAGAATGCACTCTGCTCCCCTCAGAGTCAATCCTGGTTTGCTCAGCATAGAGGTTGGTTTGCTCAGCAATTGTCTCCAGCAATGCATCTGTTATGAACAAGTTCACAAAATCTATGGGCTTGTCAGATGTCAGTTGAGCAGCTGCACCGCGTGGTCCTGGAGTGGCAGTGAAGGGTATGTCTCGTGGACACCAGTCCTCTTTCATCCATTCTGTCTGCATGCTACCACATGCAGACCGGTTAGATGAACGTCCACGACTGGCACGAGCACCCCTTTCCATTTGTCGACCTTTATAAAGATAAATAATTATTATCATGTAAATATGTGTATGTGTATGATTGAGGTGGTCGACTCACCCCTCTGTTTTGAAGGCTTCACTGGTTCCATCCTTTCAAAGTCAGGCTCTTGTATTGCACCCAATTCTAGAGTAAGTAGAGTATGTTGTTTTATTCAATGCATTGTCCGTTGCATGTAGCCTATATATATCATACACACACCCACATATTGTATATTATACACACATGCACGAATTATATATTATATACACACCCACATATTGTATATTATACACACACGCACGTATTATATATTATACACACACCCACATATTGTATATTATACACACGCACGTATTATATATTATACACACACCCACATATTGTATATTATCTGTATCATCATAGTCTATGATTCACATACACCCCACATTATATTGTAAAACATATTTATACATAGTTGTACTTATGCATGTTCTTACCGAAGTTAGAAGGGGTTGTAGGCCTCGACTCGTCCTCTCCTGACGCGTCCCCGAAATCAGAGTCAGTGTCTGGAATCACAAAGAAAATGTTTAGTACAATCAGCAGCGGGATAGAGTTTATTTATGGCAACATTTTAAATTATCTTACCTGCTGCGGGTGATCGGGAGGGGATCCATAATTCCTCCTCCTCCTCCTCCTCCTCCTCCTCCTCCTCCTCCTCGGACATGTCTGCTTTTTCGCAGACAGTGGCATCAATGCGCGACCGCTTACACTCGCGACTCAGTTGGTTCCTATCTTTGACTACTCCGCTCAGACCAGCCCGTGGTGATCGCTCATTCTGAACACCTGCTTTCTGAGTGCCTCTCTCCCCAGCGCCTCCCTCCCCAGCGCCTCCCTCTTGAACACCTTCCTCCTGAGTACGAGTGCCTAAAGTTGGCTCACTTCTGTGTTGTAAAAAGCGCTCATCAAGCGTTGTTTGGCGAAAGCGCACAGACTTTTTTTGACTTTTTCTCCCCATCTCTGTCAGCAGCTGGCAAAACAATGTATCAGTGAAGTTTCCGCTAAAGGATGAATCAAGACTGCCACCTAGTGACAAACCCACATAAATATATTTTTGGACCTCCGCCCAAGAAGACTATATGAGGCGATGCGACAACCACTCAAAGCTGCGTTATGAACTATAAATAACACACGTTTAAGTGTTTAATGAGTTTTAGATCGTTATATAAACAGTTAAATTAATCATAGCATTCCCAAATTTACACACAATGTGTGTCAGGATGTCTACTTTCAAAAAATTGAAAAAAAAGCATTTCCGAGAAATTACGTTTTGGCACTCAACGCATGGGGGCGTTGAACGTAAAATTACGTGGTTGGCACTCAATGAGTTAACTGCCAGAGGAGGAGTGGATAAAGCCAAAATCTGGGTTTCAAAAAGTCCAAGGAAAAAGACAGAGAGAAAGGTGTCAAAGGGACAGAGATAGAAGCTCTCTCTGACGTTGCAGGGAGGACAGGCAAGCCACAGCATGAAATAGTCATTCTCAGCAATCACAAGGCTTCAGTCATCCATTTCTGAAAAGCAGAGATGGAAAGTAAACGAGATACTGTTGTAAAAAAGGGAAATCCACCGCAGATATAACTGTCTATTACAATCACGGCTGTGGAGGTTTTCAATGTGAGGCTTGGACAAGAACGACGCTACATGGAAGAATAATCTACACCTTTGTTGCCTTAAGAGGAATCTGTCTGGCATTAAATGTTAGTTCAGGGTGTAATGTGGGGCTGTGCGGTTACTGATGATTCTTGTGCTGATTTGTTTATTGACAATATGACCTCAAAAGACATGCAAAAAAAAATATTTAAAATAACCTCAACCCCTGTGCTTTAATTGATTGACTCATTTCTATGTTTCTGACCAATTCCTTGTCGTCCAGAGTTATAGTTATTTCTGATGTTTTTGAGTTTTTTTCCCTGCACACTGTAGAAATACAGAATGTTCATTGTTCTCTATTTGCTCTGTACACACACACCACACACACACACGATGAAGCTGATTGGTCGGAGGGGATTCAACTGACGAAACTGACCCAGACGTACATATAGGAGATGATCATGGACCAGAGTTTACACATGGTAAGACCAGACGTACATGTAGGAAATGATCATGGACCAGAGTTTACACATGGTAAGACCAGACGTACATGTAGGAGATTATCATGGATTAGAGTTTACACATGGCTTGTATGTTGATGTTAGCATGTAGTTTTCATGTATTAGCTTCTTTGACAGTGCACATTAGTAAACATGTAAACATGGCAGATGTTTCCATGAGAGAGAGCTTCCATCTGGAGTCTGAACACCTGGATCTGAATCATGTTTATGGCAGAGTCCGTGGTGTCGTGTGTCCTTTTCATATTTGCCCCGTGCATTTGGTTAGATGTGAATTAAAAGCATCTGTATCCATGGGAATAAAGACACATGTTTACTGCTTTTCCACAGAACTTTATCCATGAATCCCAGTATTGCTAATTGACCCTGTTGTATTAAATATAGACTAAAAGCAGATGTGAATTTGATTGACCCGGAATTGAACTCTGTCTCTTTCCCAAGCAAAAAGACCTGGTCTCCCCTTGTTCCTTGGTAGTCCAAAAGTGCAGAAATATGAGTTAATGATAGTTAATCTGGGGGGATTCTGCTAATCCTTTCGTTGTTTGAAGAAGGAGGTGGACCTTGAAAAGCCTCCTGTCTTATCTCAAGGAAGTAATATTTCTATAGAATTAGGGAGGGGTAGTGTGTGTGTGAATGATTTCTGTTTAGGTTTGGCGAGACGAAGGAAAAGGCCGGACCCTGGACCGGAAGCTGCCTGATACGACACGCCCCCTTCTTCCTGGACATCTGCTCTTTTTATGCTTGGGCTGGAGGCTTGGAGTCAGTGAGCGCAGGGCCAGAGAGGGACAGCATAGCATAGTTTTAGGAGCTCTCTTTTGTTTGAATGTTCTGTATCTGATTGTCAAGATAAATTAAATACAGATGTTAAACTTGGAGAATCTTTGTCTGATTTCTGTACCAAATTTTGAACACGTCAGTCAAATCTTTTTTTGGCCCACAAATGGTGACCCTGACGTGATTTGATACAGAAAGAAGACGCAAGATGAGCTCAGATATAGACTGGGTCCGTCGGCCGGGAAAATTCTCTCTTCTCTTTGAAAGAGGTAAGCGGATCGTACTTTTGAAAATCTGCACATTGTTTTAAATGGAAGAGAGAGAGAGAATTCGGCTCGACGGATTGCAGCGTGGACAAGACCGCCGTGATGGGCGTTCTATCGGACGCGATAGAACAATAGTCAGGTTTAGACGTTTTTAGCCTTGGGGGAAGAATGGGTCCCTCCTTAAATAAAACAGGACATAGATGAGAGGTCCACAGGGTTTAGAAGTGCAAAAGAGGCACACCTTCTTAAAGTGCAGAGGCACAAGTGTATTAGTGAAAAAAATAGGAATAGAATTAGAGAAATAGGGACAGCTTTAGGGTCAGAAGTTATAGGATAATAAAACCTCCATATCCCCCGGGGGGCGGGAAAAAGGGTACATTTAAACAGGAAAAAAGCCAAGTATTTAAAGTGTGGATTCTGATAATAATGATCTGATTAATGAGAAAAAAGGAGCCACTTGGCTGTAAATACGAGTTTCCATGTGAAGAAATGACAAAAGATCAGTCTGGGAGTTTTTCTCTTGTATTGTGATGTAATGTTTCAATAGTTACAGAGGTATTACAAAAAAGATCCGGCTGTACCTAGTGATGCATTAGTCATGTACGCAAATTGTAATGTTTTGCATTACTGACGTATTTAAGGATAAAACGTAAAGTGTCGTTTGACGTGAGAAAAACTTTTACCACTGATTAAGACCTTGTCACGATAAAAACGAGGAAAATGTAACAAAAGGGGGTGTATTTCAATCGTCCATGTTTCCTTTGTTCGGGAGGCCACTCAGCCCCTCCCCTCCCTCTTTCTGTCCTCTCTCTCTTTCTGTCTTTCTCTCTCTCTCTCGTGAAGAAAGAACTATTACCAAATATATTTTTTTGTAGAAAATTACATTTATGGACAAGTTATTAAACATTTTTTCCCTACATTTTGGTGATATAAAAGTTAGAATGATTTTAGAGAGCATTATACTTTTGGAAAAATAGGGCTTAGGATAGCAGTTGAATGCAGAATTCGGTTTTCAGAATCTAATGTTTAAAATGTTAATATTAATTATTTCATAGGTTTATTTAGATTTGTAATTAATCATTGGTTTTGTATGGTAATTAACACACTTGTTTGTGTTTCTTGTTTGTCTGTTTTTTCCGAGAAAACTTCTGTCTGTTTCATTTGGCCAAAATCGTCTGCCACAAGACCTCAATCGAGCGCCATCAGCACGGACCATCAGCGTCTCCCCCAGACCCACAGGGGGCACCAAAGACAGCAGCATCGGCTGCAGCAGCTAACAGGAACTCTCGAAGAAGACTCCTCCAGCCCCATTTCTGACAGCATAGAAAAAGAAAAGACCGCAGACTTTTCACAAACTGAGTGTTGACCCATCTACGGAACAGAAGGTGGCGGTAATGCAAAAAATAAGGCCGCCAACCGCCGGAAAACCTAATAAGAAGAAGAAGGACACGACACATTTGTGTGCGTCGCAAAGGAGAAGAAAAAGATTGAAAGGAGAAGAAAGTGATTGAAAAGAAGAAGAAAAAAGGCATTGAGGCAAAGACATTGGACACTTTGAGACAAAGACATTGGACACTTTGAGACAAAAGACATTGAAAGACGCCATGAGTAAAAGAAAGAGACATTAACGGACGTTTGAGGAAGACGTGGCTGGGCAAAATGAAACAGACAGAAGGTAATATACAGACAGGCACAGAGACATATAGGACATTTAGGTCATATTTACACATTTAGGTCATTCGTTCATAACACTACATTTAACTGCATGAAAGATTACAGGACAATCGTCAAAATTAATTAGACTCTTACTTTAGCATGAGACACAAGGGGATTAGAACAGCAGTATATTTAAGGTAGAGGAGCTTTATTATTGAAACTATTATTGTTATTTAAAGTTATAGACGCGGAGAAGTTTAGAATTATTGATTTTGACTGCATGATCTTGGTAATACGGATATTTAAGGCAATTTTTCAACCTCTGAACCGTGGCTCGTTTCTCATTTAAGAACAATCACATGCACAGTTGAAACTGGTGCTAGAAAGAGAACTGCAGCTTTTAATGGACGTTGCATCTAATACAAAAAAGTGGTTTGTTCAGACAATAAAAAAAAAGAGTCTGGAAAATAATATAGAGTATTTCTAAATCTTGGCTAAAGGTGATATTAGACCATTTTTGATGGCACACTAACGCACCACGGTCCATTGGTTGAAAACACGGATGTAGGGACATTTTATGAAATCTTTTATGACATGTTTCTCTTCCAAATAGCTAAATTAGAAACAATTAGGACAATTATGTCTTTGATACAACTGTTGGCAGTTTATCTGAAACATGATTGGTGCAAGTACACACACGTAGAACAATGGTCTTTTCTCCACATGAACGTGAAACAAAGGTGAAGTATTAAAGTTTGAGACTAATTTACATTTTTAATGAATCCGACCTGGCTTTACTGAAAAAGAAAAAAAAAGGGAAAAACATTTATTGCACGTGCACGAGTTTTTTTTTTAAAGTAAC